TTACAAGGAAGGAGATCTACATATCCGTATTGCCAAGCTTGCCTTCCACGCCAAGGAGAGTCCCATCCGGACACGGGACGAAGTCTTCAATCTTGTATCTTCATGGTCCATCAGTCCGGCCAAAGGATATAGTCCGGCTGTCCGGATACCCCCTAATCTAGGACTCCCTCAATCACACTTTTATTTACTTACAACTCAACAATTACAGCTCAATACAACAAGATATGACTCTATCTGAATGCCTCTGGCAGTGTACCGGGATGTGCAATGACTCATGAGTGACATGTATGAAAGAATTACGAACGGTGGCTTTGCCACAAATATGATGTCAACTACATGATCATGCAAAGCAATATTACAATGATGAAGCATGTCATAATAAGCGGAATGATGGAAAGTTGCATGGCAATATATCTCGGAATGGCTATGTAAATGCCATAATAGGTAGGTATGGTGGCTGTTTTGAGGAAGGTATATGGTGGGTTTATGGTACCGGCGAAAGTTGCGTGGTACTAGAGAGGCTAGCAATGGTGGAAGGGTGAGAGTGCGTATAATCCATGGACTCAACATTAGTCATAAAGAACTCACATACTTATTGCAAAAATCTATTAGTTATCGAAACAAAGTACTACACACATGCTCCTAGGGGGATAGATTGGTAGGAAAAGACCATCGCTCGCCCCCGACCGCCACTCATAAGGAAGACAATCAATAAATAAATCATGCTCCGACTTCATCACATAATGGCTCACCATATGTGCATGCTACGGGAATCACAAACTTTAACACAAGTATCTCTCAAATTCACAACTACTCAACTAGCATGACTCTAATATTACCATCCTCATATCTCAAAACAATCATCAAGTATCAAACTTCTCATAGTATTCAATGCACTTTATATCAAAGTTTTTATTATATCCCTCTTGGATGCCCATCATAATAGGACTAGTTTCATAACCAAAGCAAACTACCATGCTGTTCTAAGGACTCTCAAAATAATATAAGTGAAGCATGAGAGATCAATTATTTCTTCAAAATAAAACCACCACCGTGCTCTAAAAGATATAAGTGAAGTACTAGAGCAAACAACAAACTACTGCGAGAAATATAAGTGAAGATCAATGAGTAGTCGAATAATTATGCAACTACATGAAGACTCTCTAAAATTTAATAATTTAAGATCTTGGTATTTTATTCAAACAGAAAGCAAAACAAAAGAAAATAAAGTGACGCTCCAAGCAAAACACATATCATGTGGCGAATAAAAATATAGCTCCAAGTAAAGTTACCGATGAACGAAGACGAAAGAGGGGATGCTTCTGGGGCATCCCCAAGCTTAGGATCTTGGTCGACCTTGAATATTACCTTGGGGTGCCTTGGTCATCCCCAAGCTTAGGCTCTTTCCACTCCTTATTCCATAGTCCATCAAATCTTTACCCAAAACTTGAAAACTTCACAACACAAAACTTAACAGAAAACTCGTAAGCTCCGTTAGTATAAGAAAATAAATCACCACTTATGTACTGCTGTGAACTCATTATAAATTCATATTGGTGTAATATCTACTGTATTCCAACTTATCTATGGTTCATACCCTCCAATACTACTCATAGATTCATCAAAATAAGCAAACAACACAATGAAAACAGAATCTGTCAAAAACAGAACAGTCTGTAGTAATCTGTAGGTTTAGACCACTTCTGGAACTCATAAAATTCTCAAATAAATTGGTGGACCTGAGGAATTTATCTATTAATCATCTATAAAAGTAATTAACTAAATATCACTCTCTAATAAAAAATGGCAGCAAGTCTCGTGAGCGCTAAAGTTTCTGTTTTTTATAGCATGAACATAAAGACTTCACCCATGTCTTCCCAAAGGTTCTACTTGGCACAAACACTAATTAAAAGCATAAAACCACATCTAAACAGAGGCTAGATGAATTATTTTTACTAAACATGAGCAAAAAGCAAGGAACAAAAATAAAGTTGGGTTGTGTCGTGGAATTGTCATGGCAGATGTCCTTAGTGTCAGGACTTAGTCGTGAGGCCAATGCATCTTTGTAGTAGCTTGAGTGGGGTTGAGCAGAATCAAGAGACGCAACGTAAGACAAGGATTTAGACAGCTTCAGGCCCTGGGAAACATCATCCGGTAATAGCCCTACATGTTGTTTGTGGCTATATCTCATTATGCTCATGAGAGAGTCGTCGCATAAACCGGCTCCCCATTTGTGTCTAGCCCTGGATATTGTTTTTTCTGTCCCTCTTGGGGAGCCCTGCCCCTCCTTATATATGTTGAAGGGGCGGGTTACATGACTAGTCCTAATAGGATTAGGATTACTCTATTACAAGTGGAGTCCTAGTCCTGCTTCCTTTGTAGGAGAATATTTCTTATGCCTTTCCTCTTAAACCAGCCCACCTTTATACGAACCGACATACTAGGCCTTGGGCCTTGTCGTCCATCTGAAGCACCCACTGGGTCACCAATTAGTCTTTAGGCTCGTGAGTCGTCACACCAATGAGCCGCCAGACACGTGAGTCGCCAATCCTCTGGCGGTTACTAATGAAACATCAAGTCCGGCCGGGTCATATATCTGGCCGAGTCATACCGCGGGGTATATCGCCGACATTAGCCCCCAGTTTAATTTGATTTATCCACGTTAAACTAATCTGCAATATAAACACAAGAGCAAATTTTACAGGTTGTGCTCCGGGTTAGATATTCCTGTAAGCCGGCACCCAATCATCCTTAAGTCCTTGTCATTTCCTCCTTCTAGAAAATCCGGGTCAATAGGCCAGCTTCATAATCAACTTGCTTGTAGAAGAAATATTGTAAATAAAGAATCCATTCGAGTCGGTCTTCAATGCTCTGACTTGACAAAAATATTGGTATTGAAATATTCAACTAATATTCAGCCAGCTTAAAGATGTAGATCTTGCCGATTTATGATTGCCAAAATTGCTGGGTTATAAATAAATGATGTCGGGTCATGATTGTTGCAGACACCAGGTTAATCTGGTGTACTCCAAACTAAGAATTTGAAGATTTTTTCTCCCTTATATGCATATCACCTGTAGCCCCCAAGTGCCGGGTTGTCATGCTTGCAGCAACCTGGGACTTGTAATTACCTTATGCTCATGAAAACTTCAACCAGTGTAGCCCCAAAGGGCCGGGTCATTATGCAATAATGAGCAGGGACTTTGTAGATATAACCATGTAAACTTGAACAACAATGTGTAGCCCCCAAGGGCCGGCTTAGTAAGATAATACTGAGCTAGGACTTTGTTTATAATTTATTGATAATAACATCATATAATATAATCTCCACCATGGGGCTTGAACCCACGTCCACAAGGTTAAGAGCTTTGTACTCTACCAACTGAATAGTGGAGCGTTCAATATAATGGATTAATGCTTGTGTACCTTGAATTTTTGACAGGAGCAATTGGCAGCCCCCAAGGGTCGGCTCATTACAATGTGATGAGTCGGATCTTCAATAAGTTGAACAAAAAGTGACTTTACATTAGCCCTCAAGTGTCGTGGTGCATGCTGACAGTGACATGGGACTTGCATATTTGATGTAATCTCAATTTAAATAATGTAGCCCCCAAGTGCCGGGTCATAAGCCTGCAGCAACTCGGGACTATTCCTTCCATTGTAGAATAAATCATATTCATTGATAAAATAATAGCCATTGCGCCAAAGCGATTTTGAATACCTCATCTGTTGATAAGTAAATCCGGAGTTTAAATACCGGTGGCTCTTTTCCGATGGTGGTTTAATACGCCTCCATTGTAAGCCGAAATTTTTATAACCCGGTGGTTTATAGCCTTTGAGAAAATCTAGAATTGATAACCCTTTTGAGACACCAATTTCAATCTTTGGTGATGGGCTTGAACTTAATCATTTATGTAAGGCATAGCTCTGTAAATCCTGCATAGAGTTTAAACAACATATGCCCTGGCAACTTAATGTCAAAAGCCAGGGCGGGTAACCACCCAAATGTAGTCTTATCCTGCACACAAATAGATCACAAGATCCCTTGGCGGTTTACCGCAGGGCGAGTCATAATATCTCACATATAAGGGTGATAACCCAATCCTTAGAAGCCAATACTTCCAAATATATGATGATTGTGAGACGCTGGCAACTTATTGACCAAGGTCAAGCTGGGTGAAATAGAAGCCACTCATAAAACACCTCAAATATGATTAAAAAAGTTTCAAGACAAAACTCAAAAGATTATTTGTAAGAAACCGTAGACAAAATTAGATAAAGTAGACCAAATTGTAAGGTTTCTGATTCGAGTATGATCAGTAAACCGTTTCAAAGGAGTTGAGCTAGGATTGAAATACGATCATGTAGCCCCCAGTGGCTCTGGCGTTGCCCCGATCAAGACGGTACCGACAGCTATGTTCTCTTTGGTTCGAATACGACCTATGTTTGAACAGGAAGCCCCCAAATGACCTTGAGAGTTTTTTAACAACGCTAATTCGAATACGATCAACGTTGGACCCAAAAGGGGTTGAGCTATGATTCAAATACGATCAGGAAGCCCCCTAGTGAGTTTGGCAGTGTGCCGATCAAAAGGGTACCGACAGCTATGTTCTCTTTGGTTCGAATACGACCTATGTTTGAACAGGAAGCCCCCAAGTGACCATATACATTTTCGCATTGCGCCGATCAAGAGGGTACCGACAGTTATGCTCGATGAGCAGGAAGCCCCCAAGTGACCATAATAAGGTAAGCCGTAAGGCAGGATACCCATGTTTGAACCGCACATCATGGCAGCAAGTTCTCTTTGGCAACCTTTAATTTTTCTGAGAACTAGAATCTTGCGAGAGATTAATTATTTTTGAACCGGAACTTTAAACCGGATTTGAAAGCTTCAAAACTTTATGGGAGACCGATTGTCCTTGAACCGAATGTTTGAACCGGATTTTAAACCGGAATCTTTATTTTGAACCAACAATTTTCTGACGGCCTTTAAATTTTCATCAATATGGCGGTGTCCTCCGGAACCGGGTTATCATTCCCCCAATGACCTGGAGTTCCCGAGTCATGTCATTGTAGCCCCTGAGTCTTAAGACTACTCGAGGAGTTGTCTTGAGACTCTCCATATTTGACCGTGATATAAACCGGTATGAGTCCTTCAAATCGCAATGATATATTAACCCCATCCAGCATTGGAGAACTTACAAGCCAGAATAATTGCTCTTTTAAAGAAAGCAATATGTAATATAAAAATATACCGGATGGATTTCACCTGATATTTATCCACCGTGAAGTTGATGATCATTGCGGTGACACTGAAATCAATCACGGTTGAACCGACCGTAGGAGAAGAAAAATGAGCCGGTCACGGTGTTGTAAGCCGGTGCGGGAGTCTGTTGAGTAACGACGACCACCTGTGCCAAAAGATGTTGGCATGCCTCCATCTTCGCGGTATAATATCACTTTTTGTCATAAGTAATTGCCCTGATTTGTTTGGACGACGGATGATCCATTTATCGTGACAGAGGTGGCTCAGGCAGACCAACGACTTAATATAGTTCCGGCGGCTTAGGCAGACTAGCGACTTAATATAACCCCGGCGGCTCAAAGCGGAAAGGGCGGCTCAACGCGGCTCCGGCGGGTTGATGTAGATTAAACTGCACGGGTAGCAACTTGCGCACACCTGTTCCATTAGTAAGCGGACGCAGACGCCAGTGCGTGATGGTGCTGACCTCCGGGAGTGGCGACTCACGTATGTATCCATCGAGCATCACGACATGAACAAGTACTAGTGCAAACGTGACGTTGGTGCGCACCCCTTATGCGACACCTTTTTTGTAATGAATAATGGTCCTGCGGAAAATATTATAGACCAGAGTAATTGTTCTCAAACAATTTAATATGTGCTATTTAAAATAGTCTGGACGGATATAACTTGATGTATTTGGACTTTATGATCCCTACCGGTGTCCGTTAGTCTACCCGGCACGTTGAATAGGCCGGACCGCAGGGCGGACAGTAAAACGACCGCAGCATCAGAGGCGGCTCGGACAGATGAGTCAGCTATGGCGTTGTAAGCCGGTGCGGGCGGGGAGAGTCGGCAACAGCGTTGGAAACGGTTTGGCCGTGGGTGCGGATGATGAGTCAATCGTGGGCGCGATAAGCCGCACGGATGGCCAGTTAATCGCGGGCGCGATCCTAGGGAGTTGATGTGGATCGAATTGTACGGGCGGCGACTTGCGCACACCCGTCCAACAACAAACGATGAGTCATTGTCCTACATATATAAAAATACACAGACAAAGTGATTATTCTTTGATAAAAAAACAATATGCGCTACTATAGTAAGCTTAGATGGATATCACCTGATTCGTGTGGATGATAGACGGACCGTCCACAGATTACCTTGATAATGTTGCAACCCATCCAGTGTAAACATAGTACTTTTGACGTCCCGTACATAGCGGCCTTAGAGTGATGAGCACATAACCTTGTCCATGTGTTTTTGTTTCTCTGCTCCTCGTGTGTTGCAGCAGTAGGTAATTGCATTGATAGCCGTTGAGTGGTTCATATGAAATCGAGGTTGGCCGTATGCATGCTTCATAACTAGCACTAGCTAGCAAACATGAAAACACAATTAGCACTAGCATCAGAAAACTTGAAGGCACATGTGCTACTCCCTTCACTCTGCTATGTTTGTACCATATACTCGCAAACACAACTAGCGCTAGCTAGCAAACAGGGACGTGGCCGCGTGGGCCTACATGCCACGGATGCTGTGACACCGGCCGCCGGCCTGTACGCGGAGAGGGCAGAGGTAGATATTGGCAACTTTGCGCAGGGGCAAAGCAAAGTAGAAGCGAGTCAGAGCAAGAGGCATCTAGGTGAGGTCGCGACCGCGACGCCTCAACAACGGCCGGCGAGTTGGAGACGGACAACGGAGGCGGCTCGTCCGGAGTGGCTCGGCGGTCGGCGCCTCAATGAGGCAGCGGCGGAGGCGATTTGAAGGCAGGGCCGCTCGGCAAGAGGAAACGGGACCGAGGCGTCTTGCTGGGTACAGCGGCCGACAACTCAATGCAGCAACGACGGAGGCAACTTGACGCTGCAGCTTAAGGCAGAAGGCAGGATTGATAGCTCGTTTGTGCTGCCTGCACTGTAGTGTCCACTCCAAATGTCTTATCCATCAGCAGTATGTCAAAATCAATTATATTTGGGAGAACAGTAATCGACACCTTTCCTCCTCTAGTACTCGGCATGTATCGCATGAGCAGCAACATATTATCTCTGTCAATATGTCCATGTAACAGCCCTTGGTTTTTTATAATATGATTAAGGGTATCCGTAGATTGGAAAACCCGTTTATTGAACCTTCTACCCTCGCCCTTGTGACCATGTATACAGCAGCCATGGTGGCAGAACGGAAAAAGAGTCGGGTAGCTTGGCGGCCGGAGGAGCAGAGGCAAACGGTAGACCGGCGATACTTGAGGCGCGAGGCAACTGCGGCGGACAAACGGCGCGAGGTGGAACCGCGACTGTGGGCTGAACGAAGTGCGGAGACCCAGTGACTCGAGCGAAGACCGTGGCTCGGACAGGCAGGTTTGACGTCGTTCTCAGCGGAGACAAAGCGCGAGGGCGACGGCGGCTCGCCGCAACAGCGAGGCGGCAAGGCTGCGCTCAAGTCGGAGGCGCGAGGCCACAGTTGAGGCGGTCGCGAGGCTGGGTGGCTTAAAGCTGGCCACGTCGGCTCGACGCGGCGGGAGAGGCCGCGGTGATGGTGACTTGAGGTGGTGACTGGAAGCAGGGGCGAGGCCGGCTCGACGCGACTCAGACGGCTAGGCGAGGTGCGCTTGGACAGGCGGCGGATCGGAGTCGAGGCCAGGGCGGCTTTGGCAGCAAGAACAACGGGGACTCGGTGTGAGGTCGGCAAGGGCGGCTCATGGCGGAGGCGACTTCCGCCGTACTGAAGCTGAAGGCCAGCTTGGATGTAGAGGATGTGGCTTGCAGTAAAGAAATCAGACCGACGAGGCGACTCAGCGCAGAATAGTCCGGAGCAGAGGGCACACGCGGCACGGGGAACCTGGTGGTTCAACGACACGCGGCCGGGCGGTGCAACAGCCAGAGGGAGAGGCGACGCCGGCATCGAGGCCAGCAGCAAAGTGACGTGGCGGGGCTGCAGCCACGGCAACAAGTTGGAGAGGCGCCGGCACGGCGGGGCCACAGCCAAGCAGCAGTCGGAAGCGTGTCAGGCTGGTCATAGTGGGAGTAACATAGGTAGTAACATAGATGCCACATAAGCAAAAATGATGATGTGGCAAGTAGTTAATGAGGAGAGAGGCAAATAGAGTAACATAATATGTTACCATCACATAGCGGTTTCCAATGCATAATGAGTCTACAAAGTAATAAATGAAGGCAACTATGTTACCACACCTATGACACTACCCACTATAAAGGTAGTAACATAGACTAGTAACATATGTATGTTACTAGTCTAAGTTACTCCCCACTATGACCAGCCTGAGGCGGTGGCGGCTCCAAGACGAAAACGGAGGCAGAGATTAAGTCCGTGGCCTCATCCACTTCCGTCATGGCTCCTTTTTTTATTTTTGAACCCCGTGCCAATCCAGGTCCAGGGCTGCTACTTTGGTCTTTTTATCGCCATTACAAGCAATTTCAACACTTGATTGCTTTTACTCACGTCAGCCGCCCTCAATGCAATTTTTTTATTCACACATAGTTTCCTTCCATAAAATAAGAATGAGGATACGACTTGAAGCGACTTGGCTGCTGTATATTAAATATCGTACCCAAAAACTTCTGTCCACGTTGGCGATGGTGAAAGTTGATCCGGTTTCGACGGATCATTTGATCACAGCAGCGCACATCATGCAAACCTAATTTTTCTTCAACTCAAATCTTGCACTCCCAGATCAAAAGTAAATCCTGCGTGATCGTCTCGTACCGGTTCTTCTTCATCCAGAAAATCACGAGCTCCTCGATCCCTAAGAAAGATCCCTCCAAAAACTCAACACCACCGTGTGCAAGCCCCACGGTGGGCGCCAATTGTCATGAAATTGTCACGGCAGATGTCCTTAGTGTCAAGACTTAGTCATGAGGCCAACGCATCTTTGTAGTAGCTTGAGAGTGGTTGAGCAGAATCGAGAGACGCAACATAAGACAAGGATTTAGACAGCTTCGGGCCCCGGGAAACATCATCCGATAATAGCCTTACATGCTGTTTGTGGCTAGATCTCATTATGCTCATGGGAGAGTCGCCGCATAAGCCGGCTCCCCCTTTGTGTCTAGCCCTGGATATTGTTTTTTCTATCCCTCTTCGGGAGCCCTGCCCCTCCTTATATATGTTGAAGGGGCGGGTTACATGACTAGTCCTAATAGGATTAGGATTACTCTATTATAAGTGGAGTCCTAGTCCTGCTTCCTTTGTACGAGAATATTTCTTATGCCTTTCCTCTTAAACCGGCCCACCTTTATACGAACCGACATATTGGGCCTTGGGCCTCGTCGTCCGTCTGAAGCACCCATCGGATCAACAATTAGTCTTTAGACTCGTGAGTCATCACACCAGTGAGCCGCCAGACACGCGAGTCGCCAATCCTCTGGCGGTTACTAATGAAACATCAAGTCCGGCCGGGTCATATATCTATCCGGGTCATACCGCGGGGTATATCCCCGACAGGTTGCCTCCCAACAAGCGCTATCGTTTAACGCCCCTAGATAGGCACGATGATTTCAATGATGCTCACATAAAAGATACGAATTGAAACATAAATAGAGCATCATGAAGAATATGACTAGCGCATTTATGTCTAACCCACTTTCTATGCATAGGATTTTGTGAGCAAACAACTTGTGGGAACAAGAATCAACTTGCATAGGAAGGTAAAACAAGCAAAACTTCAAAAATTTAAGCACATAGAGAGGAAACTTGATATTATTGCAATTCCTACAAGCATATGTTCCTTCCTCATAATAATTTTCAGTAGTATCATGAATGAATTCAACAATATAACCAGCACCTAAAGCATTCTTTCATGATCTACAAGCACAGAAAATTTACTACTCTCCACATAAGCAAGGTTCTTCTCATTAATACTAGTGGGAGTAAACTCAACAAAATAACTATCATGTGATTGAAAATTAAGATCAAGATGACAAGTTTTATGGTTATCATTATTATTTAAAGCATACATGTCATCACAATAATCATCATAGATAAGAGGCATGCTTTCATCATAGTAAATTTGCTCATCCAAATTTGGGGGACAAAAAATATCATCTTCATCAAACATAGCTTCCCCAAGCTTGTGGCTTTGCATATCATTAGCATCATGGATATTCAAGGAATTCATACTAACAACATTGCAATCATGCTTATCATTCAAAGATTTAGTGCCAAACATTTTAATGCATTCTTCTTCTAACACTTAACAAGAAACAAAAAGATTCGATTGCAAGATCTAAAGATATACCTTCAAGCACTCACCTCCCCGGCAACGACGCCAGAAAAGAGCTTGAGTCTACTACACAACCTTCTTCTTGTAGACGTTGTTGGGCCTCCAAGTGCAGAGGTTTGTAGGACAGTAGCAAATTTCCCTCAAGTGGATAACCTAAGGTTTATCAATCCGTAGGAGGCGTAGGATGAAGATGGTCTCTCTCAAGCAACCCTGCAACCAAATAATAAAGAGTCTCTTGTGTCCCCAACACACCCAATACAATGGTAAATTGTATAGGTGCACTAGTTCAGCGAAGAGATGGTGATACAACTGGTATATGGATAGTAGATAATAGTTTTTGTATTCTAAAAATATAAAAACAGCAAGGTAACGAATGATAAAAGTGAGCGTAAACGGTATTGCAATGTGTTGAAACAAGGCCCAGGGTTCATACTTTCACTAGTGCAAGTTCTCTCAACAATAATAACATAATTGGATCATATAACTATCTCTCAACATGCAACAAAGAGTCACTCCAAAGTCACTAATAGCAGAGAACAAACGAAGAGATTATGGTAGGGTACGAAACCGCCTCTAAGTTATTCTTTCCAATCAATCCATTGGGCTATTCCTATAAGTGTCACAAACAACCCTAGAGTTCGTACTAGAATAACACCATAAGACACAAATCAACCAAAATCCTAATGTCGCCTAGATACTCCAATGTCACCTCAAGTATCCGTGGGTATGATTATATGATATGCATCACACAATCTAAGATTCATCTATTCAACCAACACATAGAACCTCAAAGAGTGCCCCAATAGTTTCTACCGGAGAATCACGACGAAAACGTGTGCCAACCCCTATGCATAGGTTCATGGGCGGAACCCGCAAGTTGATCACCAAAACATACATCAAGTGAATCACGTGATATCCCATTGTCACCACAGATACGCATGGCAAGACATACATCAAGTGTTCTCAAATATTTAAAGACTCAATCTGATAAGATAACTTCGAAGGGGAAACTCAATCCATTACAAGAGAGTAGAGGGGGAGAAGAAACATAAGATCCAACTATAATAGCAAAGCTCGCGATACATCAAGATCGTGCCAAATCAAGAAAACGAGAGAGAGAGAGAGAGAGATCAAACACATAGCTACTGGTACATACCCTCAGCCCCGAGTGAGAACTACTCCCTCCTCGTCATGGAGAGCACCGGGATGATGAAGATGGCCACCGAAGAGGGATTCCCCCCTCCGGCAGGGTGCCAGAACAGGTCTAGATTGGTTTTCGATGGCTACGGAGGCTTCTGGCGGCGGAACTCCAATCTATTATGCTCTCCGATCGTTTTAGGGTATATGGAGATATATAGGCGGAAGAAGTACATCAGGGGAGCCATGAGGGGCCCACGAGGGTGGAGGGCGCGCCCAGGGGGGTGGGCGCACCCCCTGCCTCGTGGCTTCCTCGTTGCTTCCCTTATGTGGACTCCAAGTCTCCCGGGTTGCTTTCCTTCCAAAAATGAGTTCCGTGAAGTTTCAGGTCAATTGGACTCCGTTTGATTTTCCTTTTCTGCGATACTGTAAAACAAGGAAAAAAACAGAAACTGGCACTGGGCTCTAGGTTAATAGGTTAGTCTCAAAAATCATATAGAATAGCATATAAATGCATATAAAACATCCAAGGTTGATAATATAGTAGCATGGAACAATAAAAAATTATAGATACGTTGGAGTGCCTACCTATCGCTGAGTTCGCCTAAAACCGAGCAAGACACTCAACAACCGGCAAGTCCCCCTTCGAGGTCATCTACGGATTCAACCCATTGTCACCATTGGACATCCTCCCTCTACCACTGCAAGAGCGCATCAATTTGGATGCAAGTGCACGTGTGAATCATCTCAATAAGGAGATACGAGGCAAACCATCGAGCGCCAAGTACAACGCCTTGCGACCAAGCTCAACTTCAACAAGCAACCTATGGTATTCAACATTGGAGATCTCGTGTGGCTACACCTTCGCAAGGACCGCTTTCCCCAAGAACGCAAGTCCAAACTTCGACCACGAGCGGATGGACCCTTCAAGGTGCTTGCACACTACAACGACAACGCTTACAAGATCGACCTCCCGCACGACAAATACAACGTGAGCGATATCTTCAATGTCAAGGACCTCTCGCCCTTCCATGGTGATGAAGAATTCGATCCGAGGACGGATCTTCCCCAATGGAGGGGAGATGATGCGGAGCATCCCAAGGTCATCCCCATGGACCTACCATCGCCTCACCAAGTGCCTAGTGGACCCATGACACGAGCACGTGCAAGAGCTCTCAAAACCGAGGTGACATCTCTCCTCTCACACTTCCACTTCGATACACATGAGACATGGCTACTAGCTCAAACGGAGAAATTGTGCATACTCAGGTATCTAGGAGTTGGACATGAAGAAGCTAAGGAGCAAGGAGAAGGAGAAGAGGAAGATGGACGTGAAGACAGAGAAGAAGAAGAACTGCTCAAAGTCCCTAGGCTCCGGATGACCAACGACCCCCGGACGTCTGACAACCTCCAGGCTCCGAACGTCTGGCCCCCTTTGGACGACCGACGCTTCCACACCCGAGCCAAAAACTACGGATTTCCGACACCCCACGGACGACCAACGCCTGGACGTCCGACCCCGACCGGA